GCCCCTTCCTTGCATTTCATATATGTGTATTTATATCTTTCTTATCCTAACGGTATTTTATTTTGGATTTATCTCACATTCACTCCAGCTCCTTCATCCTTCATTTGTTTTCTGCTATTTTTTACTATAGTGCTGGAAATTTTGTTTCGGCCAACTCTGAGTTACATAATACATTCATATTGACAAGTGCTTCCTGAGCGAAATTCTGATTTAGCATGGAAATTTCCTCCATTTTTTGCACGTCACATATCTTTCATCAAATGTGTGGAGCAGCCACCTATTCTCATGGACACAATTCAGGATTTATGTTATCAGATATTAATAGCCACTATTAAGAGTTCAAACACCCCATTTCGTTTAGGGTGATGAAGGAGATTTGTAGTTGAATTTTCCCACAATGATTTCGGTAGGCCTGATGTTCACAATGAATTTCATTTAGCCCTGCTATCCAAAAAGTATTCCCACACAAGATGGACTGCAATTTCGACCCTGCCTGGGTCTCATCATTACCTCCAGCCAGACTCGAATCTGGATAGTGCAGTGTATAGTCTCGATACTTTTCTCACTGTCATGAATTACCTTGTCACTCGTGTCAGTCTTGCGTAGTGGTAAGCATGTTAATACTAAAGTTGCACTACTCGGGTTCGAGTCCCTCTTCGTCCACGGATAAAAGCTAGGCGAGGTCGAAACCGCAGTTCATCCTTGATGAGGATGCTTTTTAAGAAGCAAAGTTATGTTATATTCAATGGAAATATGATATCTACTCGCTTTATTGCGTTCATATTCATCAACTAGTCTCCTTCATCCCGAAATAGGTTGAATTCAGCCTTTATGCAAGATTTAGTGGTGGTTTCGCAACCTACTTAAATCTGGAAATATTTTTGACTTTTTTTCTTGTCACATCTACTTTTCTTTTTGATTTCATCCCTTAAACTCCCCTAGATTTTAGAAGTGGGAGAAGAGATCGTCGAACTTGAAGTCAGTGGCTTCAATACAGCTGAAATGACGGTGGCAGCTATGAATATGGGTGGCGTTTACCTCAATTCGGTTCAATTGAATCAGCACTCCGGTTCAGGATGTCAAGTGATGGCACAGTCGACTTGTAATAATAGATCGCTGCCTCCGTTCGATTATCCCTACATTGTGCAGGTGGGCTTTCGTCGAGGCTTCCTTCGAAAATTGAAGATAAATTTATAAGGGCTAGAAGCCTGTCTTATTTCCATGATTAGAGGCCTCAGTTGGCATTAATCTCCTTATTAAACTCTTTCATCAACTTGTATATCCAAAAATAAGCCTCTTCTTTAGTCTCTTTGTTTGCGTTTTGCTATCTAAACCTTTGTGTTTGAATGACTTTTTTCAACTACTGGCTCTTACGAGTATGAGTGCCTTTTTATTTTTTTAAAATTTACCCCGGTTTTGGCCAGCTTTAAACTCTGAAAAAATGTTTTTTTTCCAAATGTCTCACTTCTTTCCTTTGCAACTATCAATTTTATTTCTATTATCACTTGGAGATTTAGTTATTTTCATTAATTATCCTTTTGTTTTTTAAAAATCCACGTTTGCATCAAATTTTATAACTTCATTTTGCTTTCCTTTTATCCTTAGATTTTTAAAGGTGTAAACTATTTCAAACTGATTTTTTATAACTCAGATCTCACCAACTTCTCTGCGCCTCCTAGATGGGGCTACTCTACTCGAGCATGTCCAACTGACTAATGAGTGGCGCATACATCTTGTCAGCTGTGCAGACCCTTTCTTACTTCTTTCCACAGAGGATGACGAACTATATTTGCTGCGTCTGCGCGACCCTTCTACAATCCCTATGAGACTAGAATCCCGTTTATCTGGCACTGAGCCTGGGTCTGGATTAGATCAAGAAGCTATAGCCTTACACCAACTTGATGCGCTGAAGTCTGAAACTGAATCATTATCACCTGCAGCACGGAGCCCTCAAAGACCTGATCAAATGGATGTTGTGGAAAACGAATTGCTTTCTGATTTTCTTATTGATCAGTTGCCTGTATCGGATTACTTCGATATTTCTCAGCCAAAAGTCGGTCAGGTAAACTCTATTTATGAGTGCACATTCACAAATTTGTCTACATCCATTCAGAGGTTATTGCCCTAATAAATAAGTAATCTTCAAAATGCTCTGATATTCGCATTAACCAACTACACATTGCCTTACATAAGGTAATAAACTAGGATTCTACTCAGGCCAACTCGCAATATTTTCCAGTTTAATTTCATGATAAGAATATTAATTTTATCACCCCCTTAGTTATATCATTATTTGATCTAAAAACGAGTAGATTCACTGGCGTTGCTTTTATACCAATGTAAAAGCCCCTACTGAACGTGTGACGTCTTATTTGTTCTTAAAGCCATGACATCACTTAAAAGAGCAGAGTTTCTGAAAACTTTGCTTATTGCTTGTGCAAACTCGAATTAACTCGGGAACCAGCAAATTAATTATAAGGAAGGCGACTGGATCAAAGATATATTTTTAAAGAAGATGATAATGAAGCTTTTTTGGTGTGACAATCTAAATTCAAACGACGTTTACTGTAAGTCTAGTCAAAACAACATTGGAGGGTTATAACAAATAATTAAGTATTAGGATATTCCGAACTATCGTAGGCATTTGGCCAGGAGGCGAGGCCAGTTTGGCAAGCATTAAATTTGATAACTTCGAAAGACCGGAAATATAGGTCCCCGTTTGGCTCTATGTACAAAGATTCAATCGTGGAGGCGGTCCGAGATTTACCAACCCAATGCACATGGTCAATTGAGATAATGAAAAATTCAATGTTAAATCAGTCTATAATCCAGCTTAAGCAATCAAAGCTTTGGAGTCTTACTCTGTTTGGACACGGTATACATCTTCGGTAGATTTGGGTGAATAATGCCTCTATTTACAGATCTAATTCATCTTCTGGGCTTTATGCATAGTTTCTTGCTTCATGTTCTTCACTTTAAACACATTTAGGTATCTGCACCTCTCTGCTTTTGCCTTTACTATGACGCATCTGGAAAACTCTCCGAAATGCTTTTTTCCGAGAATGCCTTTCTTCAAAGTGTGGCTACTAATCCAGGGGGAGATGGCACGAGTGATCCTCGTCGTCAGACTCGTTCCGGTCAACGCTCAGGCCAACGCTTCGACCATGAAGAGGATAGTCCGCAAGTTCCGGCTAAAATGCCATCCGAACAGATGTCCACGGCACCTCCTATTGTCGGCGGTACTTTTGGGTATGTCAAATGCGCGAAAATACCATTGCTTTCTTTTTCACTTTTATTATGAGTTTTTATTCTTTATCGGACGCTTCATATGTCGACTGTCTCTACTCTAATATAAGGAAGTTATTGCTTTATTTTTTACATTCATCATTACGGGCCGAAACATCTAATTATTTTGTTCTTTAACCCTTAATTTTGTCACTATAATCCTGCAATTTTTGTTCTTTTTAAAGAAATCGAATTTCGTGTAATTTGCTTAATTATTTTTCTAATTTCTCTTTAAAGTTGGTGTTTAAAATAATTGTAAAGGTGCACGACTTTATTAGAGTGCTTATACCGATAGAAATTTTACCCTCGATAATTTAAAGATAATATTTTATTCTCAACTAAACTTCGCCTTGCAACTGGTCCTTAATGTCATTTTCCTTCATTTTCGCAATTTATTAAAACGGCTTGCTTAATCTTATTGAATCAAGGGTCACAACTAGCGGAAGAAATTATCATTGATTCGCATTTTATTGGGTGTTGGATTACGAATTCACTTAGGGTTAACGAGAAGTTTAAAATGTCGAATCTTACCGCTGATTGTAAGAAATGAAAATAGAAATATATCTGGCTTATAGATAGATCTTCAAAAGGGCAAGGATGGCGAACCACTAAGCCAAGGGGGAGAGTCCTTTAGTCAGGCACTTTATTAAGACCTTATCAATCCATCTAGAGTGACTAGATATTAACCGATTTTTATTCGCCTCAAACCTGTACATATTAGGAGAGCTAGAGTAGATGTCACTTATGATAACGGAATTAGGTTTGGCAATTTCCTGGATGTCACTCATACACTCACACTCGTATTGCAACGAATCAGCTATTTAAATTATCAAATATCATAAAAAAATTTTAAAATTAAACTTACGATTGCTGGCGTCTATTTCATTTGAAAAGGTGGATGGAATGGATTCGTAACTTTGTTTCATCGAATGTCAAAGGAGAGTTGCCTCGAATCTTAGACTGTTAGATTGTGCGAAGAATACTTTGGCTTACCGTCCTGTTACCCCGATGAATCCCAATTGACATTTCATCCTTCAGGTTGCAGATATCGTCAGAGACAGAAGGCATTATTTACGGGCAATCACCCAAAAGCACTTAAATAATAAAAGGTGGACGGCTGAAATTTTACTCACTATTATACCTCACTTAGTAATCTTAATCACGCGTCACATGATATAGCTGGATTATTTTTGCTTTTCCTACTTGCATGCGCACGAGTGAAGTTGATGCAAGGGGAAGCAAGTTTTAAAAAATGGAAGCCAGTAAATTTTATATTCCCAAGGTCTTTTGTTAATTTTAATTTAATAGTGACTTGACATCTGTCAGACAACGTGCGAAAGCTTAGAATCAATTTTTCGAAATTTAATTTGCCATTGACTTTTCTGCTCAAATAGGCAGCCACAAATACAAGGATTGGGATGTGACTGCCATACTAATCTTTTTAACCTATTTATCGTTCACCTTTATGCGATTTAGCTCTTATCCCTCTGCCGCCCTATCACAATTTCTTACTTGTTTACATTCCAATCATTAAAACGTGTGCCCTTTTGTGGCGTTCTACATAGTCTCCCTGAGCACAAGACCAAGTTGCGACAACGAGGTTAACCCACTTCTATAAATCGAAAGGAGACCGCGACCCTGACAGAGGCCACAACATCTTGGTCTTCATATCTTCATTTAAACTAACTAATAAAGCTATAAATTACCCAATAAGGACTTATGTGAGCTTATAACCTATTACAAATATTAGTTTATACTTGACGTTTTATAGTGTGTTAATGGCTCTAAACTAAATCGGCTCAGCTAATTAAGAAAATTTTATAAGATGCTCCTACATTCCCCTGTTTATTTTATTCTGTATTCTCTCAAATACTCCTGGTTTTAACATCCTATAGTACAATTATAGGTTTACGAGACTCTATGAGCAATTGTATGTAATTTCAACTTATTTTTCTCGGGAAGAGTCGGATGGATGATTTTAAAAATTAGCTGTGCCGGCAATCAAAGGCTACTTGTAAGTTGAGACTGATATCGAGAGAATAAGTCCTCCGCACAATATCCCAAGACCTTTATAGGCCCCAAATGCCTTGGAAATAACTAATTTGCACCTACTCAAACTAAACTCATCTTCAAATCACAAGTTTCCTATAGGAAATATTTCTTTTATTTTACCATTGGATGGCAAATCAAGGATCAAGGGGAAATTAAGATCCTTCACGTACTAACAATTTACTATGCTTCTTGGATGGGCACACTTTCATTGCTAAATTTAGTTCCAGTTATTGCGAGTGTGCTACTTAATGAGTATAATTTTTGGCAGGATTCAATATACTTACGTCATCCAAAGCCACCTTGCTAATCAATTACCATTTTTATTATTTTTGTGCATTTTAGATGCGGACAATTCATATAGTTCACATTTGAATTATTGTTTATTTGAGCGACCTAACGCTATTTTTAGTGCAAACTTGTAAATACTTTTGGGTGCTCTTAGGAGCACATATCTGAACTATATAATTCATCCAATATACTTTTCATTCTTTCCCAACCATAACTTTTTTTTTCTACAAAACTCTTCACTTGGTCACAATTATTTTACTTGATATCCAAGCCATCCTACCAACTCAGACGAAGAGGATATTCTTCTATACGGTGAGGTGATCCATCTAGTTAAGCCGGAGCCTTCACTTGTCCCATCGACGCCTGTTGTCGATGGGCTTGATTGCGTGAATTATGCTGATCTCTCGGCAAGCAGGGTCACTAAACAATTAGATGAGAGAGATTCCTTCTCACCGAGTACCTTAAACGAACGTACAGAGCCCAGGTGAAGTCAAATCTTCCATAATTATTTTGTTCATTTTAGCTATACATATATATAACTTTCAAAGCTGTTTTTTTGTGCAGGTGTAGAATTTTCACGTAATTATATTGACCACATTAATTGGCTAAATTTTAAAATTCGTTTCTAATTTTTCTTAGATTGAAAATTTGGGTCTATCGCAAACCTGTTGCGAATTATTTCCCCTTTTAAACATCTTTTTAGACCTTATTCTGCTGATGCTGTGGTTGGACGATCGCATTATCTTGCCTTTATCGCTTACACTAATGGAGTTCTGGAGGTAATTATAGGTCTTATTGACACTATCTTTCCATAATTTCTTGATATTTGAAGCATTCTACGAACCTCTAAGCCCACTTATTGACCAAGAGCCACAGGGTAGTGCGTTTAATATCCTAAATATAGATTGTTTTTGAATCCTATTGAATTCTGTCTTTTTTCCAAAATTAAAGGCATAATCTTTTTTTAATACAATATTTAGTTACTTATCGAATGAAGTTGTGTTATGTCGAGCATCCTGACATATCATTCTTAGGTTAATCTTTATTTTGGGTAAAATGTGTGTTAAATAGTTTTGCATGTCTTCAATCTCAGCAGAAGAATACGGCGAACTCCCTCTAGTCTGACATTTGGTTTTTCTTAGCACTTAGCTCAACGCAATCATTGAGACAACCATATTCGAATCCAATGTTGGATGGCATTCCTATTTCATTGGACCAACATTTATTCAATGAAACTGTCCGGTCTGTTCATTCTAATAAGAATGAACTCTCACTTGATATAATATTTGGCCAGTCTATGTTCGTGTCCGTCTATATGCTTTTATATCTAATTGGGTACAAAACCTCTCCTGGTATCACTTAGCTCTTTTACTCAACAAGGCCTACATATATTTATGGGAAGTAGGTTTCGTGAATATAAACTTTTTTCACGCCGTACTTATAGTGAAGCCTGTAAGTGGGTCTCGAGATCACCTGCATATATTCTATTAGAGCTGTATATATCCTATTTCATTTAAGGCGTAGAAAAACTGATAGTTGAATTTTCCCACAATAATATGGCTAGGCCTCACGTTTTTACTGAATTTTATACAGTCTTGCTTCCCAAAGGGTTTTCTCATTTAGGGTTAACTGCAGTTTCGTCCTCGCCTAGGCCTCATCAGCACTCCATGCGGGTCCCACGCCCTGGCAGTACAATGAATAATCTTGACTCCAAGCCATACTGTCATGAGTGTCCTTGGGTCACAGGACAGAAGTAAATTTCAAGAAAGCTTAGACCTTTTCCATTTCCCATTTCTGTAATGGGATTGTCGACTAAGCACAGATGCATTTGATGTAACCATCAATTACACTTGGAAAAAAATTAAGTAGGCCTCTTAGCTACCTATAGATTTCGGATGAGCCGTATTTATTCTAAGCCGAATGAGGTGCTAGATAGTTCCGAAGCATTTGATACGAATATGGTTACTGTGGTCGATTGTAATAGCAAAAAAACGTACCTTTATTCATACAAAGCCGATTTCGAGACTACAATTCCTGTTGATCGCGTATCTCTAGTTTCATCCAGCTCTGAACGCAAAACCTTTGAAGACCATTGATGATAATTTCTTGAAATTATCTTTATTAATTTCACTCATTTACATTCATGTAAATAAATAAATATATGCACACGGAGCCTTGAAGTGCTCAATCAACTATTTATATGCTTCAAAAATATATTTGGGATAATACATTTATAGTGGATCTGGACATTTTGGTTTTCTTGACTTGGCGTTATCTTAGCAGTTTTATAAGGATAACTTACAGCTCTGTCATTGTCTATCAGCTCAGCTCTTTTTACTGAAGTAAGGAGGTTTTTTGAGGATTCTGCCAACTCAGATCAAACATCTGAATTATGGAATCTACCTTTGCCACATACTTTCACACTGACTGCAAGTCCCTTTTGGCTCTTAAGATGCAATATTTTAGCTAACAACTACAATTACTTTTCATACTGGCATACCCTTCATTTCGTTTCGGCAGGTTGAATAGAATGCTAAATTGGCTATGCCGGATACCGAGGAAGAATTGTTTTAGACTTATTTATGACCGTCCAATTGTGGATTAAGTTTCACTGTAATTTGTACTTGAGACTGTATTTTTCTGCCTATTCTGTATTTTCAGCATTTTTTTAGTCTCCTTACTGCATAATCGGGTTTTAAAATCAAGTCACCTAAAAACGGTATTACGTCTGCTACTAAACTGCAGCAAGGATCATGATCTCTGCTATGGCTTCATTATTTGTACTTACTCCCTAAATAAAGTCTCCTTCGACTCGAAAGCTATAATTTTTAATCATACAACCGTATAGTCTAATGCTGTGAACCCAAAATTGCCGTACTTTACGAATAATTTCGCTTCTGTGGGCTTAATTAAGCACATTTCATGAAGCAATTAGTATCGTAGCACTTGTGCTAGGATAGCTCATCTGTGATGATTTTATAAAGTGAATCTACCTGCGAAACCTGAGCCATTTACGAATATGTATGACCTTAAGTATTTAACAAGGTAAGCTATATCACTAAGTTATAAGTTTCTGTATAGAAATCACAATGCTCGAAGTCGTATATATGGCTGAATATTAAGGAATACGAGCACAATTTTACCTGGGACAATGAATACTTCTAATCGATCTACGAGTTACATTCTTTTTGATACTCATATCTTGTCAATGCTGGATGC